GCCCTCACATTGGTTTACAGAAGAGCGGATGGTGGTGAAGTGATTAAGAAGGCAGCTAGAGAGCAGATAGAGGGAAACTCCCTTGGAATGCAGCCAGGCTGCAGGCAATGAGATGTGTGGCCAATATTGTAATTTGCTTATGGTGGCAAAAAGAGGCTATGAGTTATAGGGGACAACTATACTGTACAGTCTGGGGGCAGGAAGATGTAGAAGCCCCGGGATTTCTGGGGGGATGCTGCCACCTGTTGGTTCAAAGCATGCATAGCTAAAATAGGACAGCTCCCAGTCCCTTTCATTTCAATTTGACGTGGCCAGAAAGTAAAGAAATACAAAGCAAAATAAAGACTAACTACAATCCCATAGGTGACCTTTTAAAGCTCCACAGGGCTCCAGGAATCATGGCTTCAGATGTCCAATAAACAATTTAGCATCTTCCCATTTATTCACTTTCTATTTTAAGGGTAGGAGGATGCCCCAGAAACATCAGATTGAAGAGGAGGCAGAAAACTCAAGTCATACACATTCCCTTGAAAATCTATTTCGGATACAGAAATCTGTTTGCATGTTAATGCTCTGAGTTTTCCTCTTATGCTCAAGCCTGCAACTTTTGGATACACGTGCAAATAACCCCATCATAGAAATGGCATGTCCCTCCACTGACCTCTCTCTCCATGGAAACTGAACCCTGGGTGACTACATGGTGCCCTGAAACATTTCACCCCATGTACATTATTATCTAATGAAACACAGACAACCATTTATTCACAGAGGCATCTGCGAAAAGTGCCAACCGTAACCTCTCACACTGAGAGTGACCAAGTCCATGAGATGAGACAGCAGGAAAACCAACTAATTTCTGCTGAAGTTGGAGCATGAAGAGAGCTTAGAGCTACTTGGAACTTTGGTGGCCTTAGCATCACATCAGGGGGAAAGGAGTTAACAAGAACAGTATCTAGTAAGAGATTCCCCCACCTTTAGAGCAGAGGGCATTGCTTTATCTTTTATCCGCTTCTGCTCAGACAACTCCAATCTCCAATAGGAGCTTAAGGAAGTTACTTTATAATACTATAGCCTCCATAATCCCTTAGCCACAGTCACAATACCTATGGGAATTATGGAAGTTGTAGTCCAGGAAAGTAAGTTTTCCATGTGTTGACCACCACCACTGTCCCCAGTCTTCTCTGAACCCAAACCAGTCTGTTTTATGGGCAAGAATAGATTGCATGCGCTCCCTCAACAGTAAAAGGGGCTAATCTGGCTATGCAATAAAGCCTTTTTCCTTGATCATTAAGAGCCACAGTATTCTTTCCTGCACAATAAGAAAGGAATTTAAAATATAATTTTCTAATACACCCCTATACAAGAACATTGCTTTCATGATTTTGTGTGTGTCTTTAGCCACAAGACGAGTTGCAGGAAAACCACAAGCCATAGCTCCTTTCTCCACCTGCATGCATTGGAACAAATATGTTATGTTGATCGTAACACTCAATGTTAATAGAAAGAGGAGGTGATAACTGTGTAGCAAGTCACCTTGCATGCAGCAGTGTTGAATCCTATTATGCTGTGGATTCCCTGGGCATGAGAACATTAACAATGTATACTTCAAGTCTATTCCTGTTTATTTTAGAGTACACAAGCAATTTCAGCACTTGGAAAAACAGAAAAGTGTTCTAACTGGAGGCTTCAGCTAAGCTATAACACACACACACACACACACACACACACACACACACACACACACACACACACACACACACACACACACACACACACACACACACACACACACACACACCCTAGCACAGGGCAAGCCCAAGATATTTGGCTACCAGCTTCCCATCTATCCTCTATGAGATCAAGGCCAGAAACAGATGTTAGTGACAGCCTGTGATTAAAAAATCTTTTAACTAATGAAAGTGTCTGAATTCATGGCAATGTTCTTTCCTCCGGAATTATGCAAATACACTTGCTTTATTTGGTGATTTGTCTACAAGACTTAAACACATGATTCCTTTGATTCCAGCAATCTGGAAAGCCTGCCTCAATAATCTCTCTTCAATATTAGCATGCTTTCAGCTCTAATTACAGGCTCTCTGTAATGTCTGTTTCTGACCTAAGCCTCTGTGTGGAGAAGAACATGTGAAAAGGGTTTACAGTTGCTGTGATATCTGAACTGACAAACTATAGTTTACAATTAGTTGGCAAGGCAGAATTGGAAACTGTACTGACTATAGTTTATGCCAGCCTTGGCACTACATCGTGTCTAAAAAGCCCAACGGAAATGCGAATAAGCTTGTGAACGTCTGAAGCTAAGTCCTAAGAAAGTGGGAAAGGGAAGGAAACAGTTGTATATAAACTATAGTTTCCTGGTTGTATGTTTGGCAGTTCAAGCTATCATTTCTTTTCAAGCTGTGATTACCATATGCCATAATGGGGTGTGATGCTTGACCTCAACAAGTTCAAAGCATCTCGCGCTTATTTATAGTTTTAGAGAACATGACAGTGTGAGCCCCAGTCTGGAGATGTCAACAAACATAGTATGGTGATTTTAAAGTATGTGCTGCCCCATTTTGGAAAGTACCAGATTACTGAAGAACTTAGAGGCTGCTCAAATACAACATGGTTCATAGCATGCTTCAATAGTCAGTGGATCTCACCAGAATGTGTCATGAGGGATCTGTGTGAGACTCAGGGAGGACAAATATTTCAATCCAGCTGCTCAAAAAGCATACTGTTCATTAACAATCAGGCAGTTAGAAACACCCTTGCCAATGAAAAATGGAGATGTGCCACTGTTGTGTTTCTATATTGTGTGAGAATTGTGCAATATAAATCCAATATGTTAGTAAATAAATAAAAGTTGGCAGTGCCCAACTCCTTGTGCGTTTAGCTGGAAGAAGTATGTTTATGACAGTCACGGAGGTACTACAAGCTCCATTCGTATAGAAAGTGCTGGTGCCACAATTTTCACAGAGCTTTGGGAGCATCAGCTGCGCAACACAGAATGCACCCCCTTTACTGCTGTGGGAAAGCAGCACTGGAGACAAAGCAGCGTGCCGTGCAGCACCATCCACTCCAGCAAACAGAACTTCAAGTAATGTAAGCAAGTAGCACTGCCACACTTACCCTCGGACAAAAAGGATCCAATAATCACATTCTAAACCTTTCCTTAGAACATGTACCCTTACACCAGCGCTATCGCTTATCTTTTTGTTCCTAGCTTGTGAAAATAAGAATTAAAAATAAAGGATACGAATCACTTGTCTGGTTTGATTCTTCAAACAGAGGCCCCTCTTATGAGTAAAAAAACAGGCCAGTGAATAGTGTCGCAAGCAAGGACAGCAAGTGGTGAAGGACAAGATGACTCCCTTTCTGTTTCACCAGCCTGCTTGTGTGCCAGCCATGGAGGAAGTGAAACCCTTTTCCTTCTCGCAAGCCTTGCAAGGCAGATGGGCTGGCATAGGAAAGACAGCGCCTTCATTGTGAGCCTGTTCCTCTGGCACACAGGCTGTTTAGGAAACAAAGTGCTTCCTCCACAGCCCATGCAGAAGTTGGGCAAAGTGGTGAAAGGGTGGTGTGTCCAGCCTGCTTGTGTGCCAGCCATGGAGGAAGTGAAACCCTTTTCCTTCTCGCAAGCCTTGCAAGGCAGATGGGCTGGCATAGGAAAGACAGCGCCTTCATTGTGAGCCTGTTCCTCTGGCACACAGGCTGTTTAGGAAACAAAGTGCTTCCTCCACAGCCCATGCAGAAGTTGGGCAAAGTGGTGAAAGGGTGGTGTGTGTGTGTGTGTGTGTGTGTGTG